GCTTGTTGGTTTATATTTTGGGGGGAGTTATTTTGCTCTGAATGTAGGTAGCAGTTTTCACCAGCTTATGGTCTGTTTTGTTTCGCCTATCTTTCTGAGTACACTCCTTGGTCGATGGCAAGTACTGTATGACATTCTTTAAATGTAAAGTGTTCTGCTGCTTCCATTTATTCTGTGGTGCTGGCAGAGCCCCTGCTGCTTCCATTTGGATTTGATTCTTCCTTGGCTCCGTCTCGCAGGTTTTCTCGTGCCTTATTTTGCCTCCGGTCTGCTCGTGTGCCATCTGACCCTGCTTGTCTTTTGTCCATGTCCTCTTGTTTCTTTCTCCTCCTTGTTCAGTGTCTCGTTAGGTCTGGAATTGTTTCTTCGTCTCTGTTTTTGCTTTCCCTAGCCTCTGGTTCTAGGGCTTTATGCACTCCTCCAGGGCAGGGGTGTTGCTTGTTTGGCCCTGGTGAACAGTTTGTTCATCATCAGCTGGCTCCTCCTTTGCTGGCAAAGACTGAGTGGGTTGGCTTCTGGAGAGGTCCTGTGGGTTTTGGTTTGCCGGGAGTGGATTAGGTACTGTGTATGGTAGTGGCTATGCGCCACTTCTTTTGCGCCTCTGTTTATTTCTTGGTGGGTGCTTTGTGGGTCCATCTGGTCTCCTTGGTCCAAGGCTCATATGTCTTGGGCATGGGGTTTTTTAATCGGTGAACAGAGTTCTGGTGGCCCGGTATCTTTTTCATGTAATTACCTTGTAACAAACTAGGCTGGTTGCAAGAATTATCCAGAGTGGTTTATCGACAAAAGAGAATGGGAAGCTGAGCCGCGTGGTGACCCGGGTCCTGACCCCCAGGGGAATCCGCGGTGAAAATAATCGACGCCTTGTTCATAGCTGCGTATAATGAATCATCCTATAGTATTCAGTAATTTAGAGAAATTAGCCTTTATTCATTTTGTATTAAAATTGTATTGTATAATATTCCTGTTTATAGTACCAAGAGTATTCTAATTATTGAGTTAAGTCACCATCAGTGACGACACGAATCGGATCTAAGTTGTAAGGCGCCAGTGACCGGCGGTCATAGGTCATCAGAGTGACGATGTCCACTATTTCTCAAAGTTCAATTAACCATTTTGGGGATCGGGAACAGCTCTGCCGTTAGATGCTTGTGTAATTTAATTTCAGTAAAATAATTCAACCAGTCTGGATCAATTAAGTACAACAGAGGTTAATTGTTATAACTTAAACCTGGCTAAGTAACTTGGTAAAACTTAGACTATGCGGAAGGATACAATGCTCTAGTCTGGGGTAGACCAGACGAGGGAGAGATCAGTGTGAACTCAAGATCAACTGGGGGAGGTCAACCCATCTTACCTCTCCCCCAAGACCACCCCAACATCTTTAGCTGGTAAAACATAGAGGTATAGTTGCTATTGTAATTTATAGGGATAGTCAACTCATTGCATTCAGGTCAAGTAGGGAGTGTTAAAGTGACAGGGAGTGAACATATTTAGATTTTGTTTTAGTTTTTTAAACCCCAATTTCTGAGTGAACTCCAATGGCTCCCTAACACCCTCTTGTTGGCAGTTTTCAAGGGTTTTGTGTTTTCTAAAGCCAGCAGTAGTGTGTTTTGTTTCTGTGTCTTTCTGGGTGCCTTCCCTAGTGGTGGCATAATAAATAAATAAAGGCAACAATTCCTGGACCCTCTGTGAAGGGCCTAGGTCCTGGTGCTGGTTCCTGGTAGGCCAAATAGAACTCTGCGACTGATGTGACATAGTAGTTGGCACGCTCTCGGTGATAGTTGCTTTAGGGATCAACTGGAATCTTCCAGAAATTGACATTTCATACATTCAACACTGATTTCTTTATACTGTCTGGGGTTTTGGTGATGAGAGATGCGAGGTGAGCTGGCTTATTCCGATGGTAGTTAAACAGCCTCTGGCAATCTATAATGCGGAGTAGTGCTTGAATTTTTTCTCCTTGGGTGGATAGTCTTCTCTAGCATCTTTTTTGTCAAAGTATTATGCTACAGGGATGGGTTAAAATAATCCCCATGGCACTGAAACAAGATGTTGACCTGTTTATTCAATGGGAGAGAAGGCCATTCTTTAACCACTTAACTGCGCCAACCGAGTATTCTCGGTCGGCGGGAAACTGCACCAACTGAGAAAACTCTTTTTGATAATTTCGTACCCATTCTAAATGTGTGCAAGGTTGGTTGTGTACGAAATGGACTCTTAGGATCTCCAGAGAGAGGCAGCCATCTTGGAAAAAATTCCCAGAATGCCCTAGGGCTGCTGGATGGGTTAGTACTGAGTGAGCAACCATGGGTGACGCACGAGCCTCTGGCTCCCAAACACCTGTCTGACGCGGTGTTGAAAGATTGCGCTCTGTCGGTGAAATTCAAATCTTATTGTTTGAAGAACATAAGGGTCATAATATTGGTGAAGCTAGGCATAATAAGGACCTAACACAAAGGTTGGATGCAAGTGATACAGCACCTATGATGATGATACAGTGAGCGTATCCAGTTGTAGCTCTGAGCAGCTCTGAGCGCCACCCTTGCCAGTCTCCAATTTATTTAGATGATACATAGATGAATCGTTTTCTGCATTCAGTGATGATGCATCTGATACAAGTAGCATAGATGAACAGTGTTAGCGGCTTCCATGGTGGTGTTTTCTATAGATATTTTCAAGAATAGCTGAATCTCTTCTTGACTGACAGACACTCTTTGAGGCTGGCTGAATCTCTTCCTGTGTGGGACCTTACAAAGCGATCTTTTCACATCCACCTTACAAATTGATCTTTTCCTGTAATCTTTTCAATACTACCTTACGTTTAACAAGTTTGGCTACATACCGACATGAGCACTACGACAAAGTTACTGAGGCATTAGAAGAAAAACAGAATGCTGATGTGATATACACGGACTTCGCAAAGGCTTTCGATAAATGTGACCATGGCGTGATAGCACACAAAATGAAGTCAATGGGAATAACCGGTAAAGTAGGACGCTGGATACTCAGTTTTCTGTCAAACAGGACTCGGCGAGTAACGGTCAACCATATAAAATCTAGTCCAAGTGCAGTTAAAAGCTCTGTACCTCAGGGTACAGTCCTTGCACTGCTGCTTTTCCTTATTCTCATATCAGATATAGACAAAAATACAAGTCACAGCTTTGTATCATCCTTTGCAGATGACACAAAAATCAGTATGAAAATTATCTCGGCTGAAGACACTGAAAAACTTCAAGCTGATATTAATAAAGTTTTCGACGGGGCATCAGAAAATAAAATGATGTTTAACAGTGATAAATTCCAGGTACTCAGGTATGGTAAAAATGAGGACCTTAAACATAATACAGAGTACAAAACACAATCAAATGTACCCATAGTAGGAAAACAGCATGTAAAGGATTTGGGAATAATAATTTCTGACGACCTAACATTTAAGGAGCATAACCAAGCAAATATTGCGACAGTCAGAAAAATGATAGGATGGATTACAAGAACTTTCAAATCCAGGGATCCCATCACAATGGTTGTACTCTTCAAGTCACTTGTGTTGTCCCGTCTTGAGTACTGCTCAGTACTCACTTCTCCCTTCAGAGCAGGAGAGATTGCTGAAATAGAGGGAATACAGAGAACATATACGGCACGCATAGACGCAATAAAGCACCTAAATTATTGGGATCGTCTCAAAGCCCTCCAAATGTACTCACTAGAAAGAAGACGAGAGAGATATCAAATAATATACACCTGGAAGATACTGGAGGGCCAAGTACCAAATCTACACAGTAAAATAACAACGTACTGGAGTGAACGATATGGAAGAAAATGCAGAATAGAACCAGTGAAGAGCAGAGGTGCCATAGGCACAATCAGAGAACACTGTATAAACATCAGAGGTCTGCGGTTGTTCAACGTCCTCCCAGCAAGCATAAGAAATATTGCCGGAACAATCGTGGACATCTTCAAGAGGAAACTAGATTTATTCCTCCAAGGAGTGCCGGACCAACCGGGCTGTGGTGGGTATGTGGGCCTGCGGGCCGCTCCAAGCAACAGCCTAGTGGACCAAACTCTCACAAGTCAAGCCTGGCCTTGGGCCGGGCTTAGGGAGTAGAAGAACTCCCAGAACCCCATCAACCAGGTAACCAGGTATACCATTTCAGGTACTAATGCCAAGGGTGTACGTGAGTGTGTTATTTGCAAGCCCACAGAACGGAGAAACAGGAAGCGAAAATCTATCTGTACCTGGTGCAATGAGAGCAAAGTCGCGCTGTGTACAATGGGCTACTTCATTGATTATTACTCACATCCGAAGTACTGAGTGTGTAATGAAGTGTGTTACTGTGTAAATAGTGTGTGAAACTGTACATATTGTAATTTTAGTGATTTTTTAACAGGTAATATTGCGACAATAAACATTTATTGTGGACACATTACTGACACATGTATCACAGTTCCATGGAACATTATGTACGTTCTACTGTATACATACTGTAAAGGACACAAATATGCATCATATACGATAAAAACAAAAACAAATAAAACCACATTGGAAATACATAGAACAAATAATTGAAAATGTATTTGTGACAACACCTGGTGCTTGAATGGCCCGCGCGACCGTGTCTGGGCGATTCATGTACAGGCGACCAGCCCTGATGACATCAGAGGGCATCTTGTCCATGTCCCCACAGCCAAAGTAAGTGGAATTTGGTATTTATTTTTACATAGACATGTTCAGGGAAGGGAATTGATCATTTTACGAAGAAAAAAGAATTTTTGGGGAATACTTTATTTCGTGCGCACAGGGGGAATTTCACAATAAACTCAGTGCAGCACCGTGGTTAAGGAAGAAGCTGAGTGACTTGCACTGGAGATATTCATCTGCATTTAAAGAAAAAAATTGTATCTCATAGTTTCAGGTATTGTTAAAAAAGGATTATTAAATGTCTATGAAATCTAAATTGAATATGTTTATATAACTAATTAATGATCGCCCTAAACAGACACTCTCCCAATAAACGGCTGAAAACAGAGGAAGACAACGATTTAGAATGTACAAGTGATATGACGCTCTTCCAACTGCTTAACCCTACAGCAGCTACCAACAAAAATAATTTACGACAGAACTACAGCTTTTCAAATCTTATTAAGAAAGAGCTTGAGGCTGAAGATATTGATAAAGTAAGTGATTAAAACAATATACTGTAATTCAAAATAATTGTTACTTCAAATTTTCTTCAAAATATTTTTGTCATAACATTCCAATACTTTTATTAAATTATTAAAAATTATTAACTTTGCTATTTAACCCTTAAATATGGCTATCATTAAAATTGTCACCTCATATGTGCTGATAAATGGGTTGAATGTAATAAACGCCTCTTACTGGTGGGTCCCTCTATAACTGCCCTTAGCTACACACCTGGCTACCTGACATGCTTAACCCCTGGGCTGCTCTTGCGTTTGTAGTCTGCAACACGCCCAGGCACAAGAAATAAAAAAAATACAAATTGAATTTTTGTCTTATAAAAGTGTTCTTTTGTGTTCCCTGATCACGGGAAAAATAATAAAAAAATAGTAAGGATCATATTTTGGCCGTAATAGGGCGAGGAAGTCTGGCAAAAAACCAGCGTTGACAGAGCTAGCGTCGGAGAAGGAATGCTTTGCCCGAGCTGTCTGGTGGGAATTGCCACAAAGATATTATAACCTAATTATTTCACTGTTTCTGATTTTTTCTATGTTTTGCAGTAATATTATTCAATAGTGTGCAGTGTGATATATATTTATATAATGAAATGTGTGAACCAACTGTACAACTAAGCTGGTATGGTGAGTGAAGACAATAATTGAGGTCGCTACACAGTCAGGTGATGCTCCCTCCCTCACTCGCCAACATTCCTACTCCCACTATACTGTTTGTGCTGTTTTTACACTATACACACACACACATTATATATATAGGTATCTAAATGTTTTGTTCACCATAACTGTACAACTAAGCTGGTGAGGTGTCCAAACAACCTAGTGGCCACAACAGAATTGCATGACAAGAGACACAGCAGCCAGCAGAAGACACCACCTCCTTCACCAAAATGGCTCCTCCCAACATACTCCTTTTGCTGTTATTTCACTATGTACACACACACGTTATATATACAATTACACATATATACATTTGGTTTCACCATAAGAAACCACTTAAGCTGGTATGGTGAGTGCAGACAATAACAGGTGTCCACACAGAGTCAGCAGACACTACCTCCCTCAGCGTTACTCCTCCCACCATACTACGCACACTGCTAATTATCACAACAGTCCTGCTATTATCAGAATCCTGACCTTTCTGTGGAGAACCCCTTTGGCTTCACGGAGCTATACCGGGCTGATGTGTATATATTAGACCGTAGCAACAGTCAATCGAAGGAGTTCTAAGCCTACCGAAGACCATAGCCAGAACCTGGCCCCCCTCAAGAGAGGCACGAGGAGCAATGGACTAAAGACACCCCTCGTGTAATTGGAAGCAATCTTTGTCTGCCATCTACCAGGTCAGGCACTCAGAAAGGTAGGAATTTCAAAACAAACAAACTACTGCTGGCCAAAAAATTGCAAACCGAAAGCCAAAAAAGCAAATAGAACTCCCCAGTCAAAATTTGGGAAACAAACATGACGTCACCACAACCGCCGTGCATCCGTCTGCGCAACCCCCCCCCTCCCCGGGAGGGGATGGGAGGGGGGTCCCAGACCTCCATGCCGGCAACTCTCCCCAGTTCAAAGGTTGTTGTGATGGTGAATGGTCGATCGCTCTGGCTCTACTTTTTGTGCAGTGCGGTGTTGTTGCTCTGTATTGGTGGTGTGTGAGTCAGGAGTAACACAAGAGTACTGGGGCTGCATGCACCTAGGGCTACCTTCCCTAGCTGCCACGTAAGTACTGCCTTTGCGGCTTCAAGGTTATCTTCCATGAGCCGTTCAGAAGCAGCTATCTCCGTGTGGTTCGCTGCTCGGTGATTGCCCGTCCTTGGGGGTTCAGCTGGGGTGGTTTTTACTCCTGTTTTCCCTTGGGCAGGAGGTAGTTTCGTCACTGGCTGGGGCGCGAGGTACTGTGCAGCTGTCTGATATACGCAAAGCGACCGGTTCTGTTCACCTGGAGACATTGTGCTTTTGTAGGGTTTTTCTTTTGTTTTTGTTTTCTTTTGCCTGGTGTGGCAGTAGGACCACTAGTAGGTTTTTGGTTGCCCTCCTCTAGGTCCCCGTGCTTGCACATGTCGCAGGGGGTTCAGCTCTTAGATTGCTTGATAGTTCTAGGATAACTGGTTAGCAGTAGCTCTCCTGGGCTTCCCTTAGCAGTCTGCCTAAGGACCCTGGAAACCCCCATTGGGGCTCAGAGGTCCAATGTAGGAGACCTCTGGGTCCCACCTCGCCTTGTGCAAGTTTGAAGGTTGCTCTGTCCTCCTGTCTCAGGGTGACACTCACCGCCTGACTCCGCCTTGCTGCCTGTTGGGGTCAGTGACACCTATGACCCGGACGGAGTCCTGCGAGTGGTGTTCTTTACTTGTACTCCAACTCACCCAGTCCACTGAGACTGATATTTGGGTGCAGGCAGCTTCAGCGTTGCATGCGTGGTTTAAGTTGCAGCAACGTGATAGGTTGGTTGCCTTTCCAGATGCCCCACAGCTGCCCCGCTGAATTATAGTGGTAGTGAGACTCGGGCAGCTTCGGGAATTGCCCGCCAGGGGCAATCCCCGAAGCCGCCAGTTGATTGGCGGCGGAGGCATTCAAGCCTGGTCCTCCTGCTGGAGCTTTTGGGCCACGCCAACGGGCCCCCTTCATCCCTGCTTTTCCGGTGGATTCTGCTTTTTTTCCAAAGACAGAGGGTTTGGAGGACGGGCTCGGCCCCGGGTCCTGACATGGAGGATTCCGGGGCTGGGGAGTAGTTAACTTGGGGGGCCTGGGCCCTGCTTGGGTGCTTGGTACCTTCGGTGCATGCGGAGCTTGTTGTTACAGGGGGAGGGAATTTTCCTATCCCCCTCCCTGTACGATTTTGTTATGAATTCAACTCCTCCCCAGGTTCGGTTCTGAGTTCCCTTTGGTTCCCTCCTTCTGGAGGTTTTTGCCTTCCCGGATCCTACCGAGGAACGTGTGGGAGGCCCCTTGTGGCTTACCTCCTGCGAGACACAGATTACGCCTCGATATTGAAGCCTTCTTTTTTTTTTTTTGAGTCTTGTTCCTCTTTTCCTTATTGGGTGAGTTACAAGGTGCTGGAGTCTTCCTGACTGGCAGACTGCTTTTTCTTCGTGGGGGGTTTGGCATTCGTCCTGTCGGACTGTGCACTTGATTGCGAGAGTTGCCTACGGTCGTTCAGGTTTTCCTGGGGGGTGAGTTGGAGCACCTCAAGGTGTGCTACTTCGCTCCCGTCCTTCCTTATGATGTCGGCCAGGTGCGGCTTCACGTGCAGGTTCCCTCCCTTTCAGTATCCCTGGTGGCCGAGGATTTGTGTGGCCTTGGGCACTTGGCTTCGATCTTGCACTTCTTTTCCCTACTGGAGCTGTCTTCGGACTGTCTCGTGCTGGGTGTGGAGGAGCTGGGTTCCGGGCTAGGGTCCGGTGGGCTTGCTTCAGCAGCTCAGGTGCCGGCTGCTTTGGTGAAGCCGACGGGAGCCCCGTCGGCTCCCCGGAGCTTTACCGGCTGATATGCTAATGTCAGACTTTGGCATCAGTCATGTGTATGGAGTTCTAGGGCCTACCGGGGACCACGGCCAGAACCTGGCCCCCTCAGAGAGGCAAGGGGAGCAATGGCCTATAGAAACCCCCGTGTGGTTGGAAGCATTCTATGTCTGCCATCGACCGGGTCAAGCATCCAGAAAGGTAAGCATTCCAAAACAAACCCCTATTCTGGTGAAAATTGCTACCTAAAGCCGAACTAGTGGATAGAACTCTTCAACAGAAAACAAGGAAACTATTATGACATCATACGTCACCGCGCCGCTGTCTGCGCAGCTCCCCCCTTCCCGGGAGGGGGAAGGGGGAGCCCCAGACCTCCCACGCCGGCTATCCACCCATCAGTTCTTCGGCTGATGCTATAGGCACCGGTTATGTGCTCCGGCTCCAGTGGTTGTTTCAGCACTGTACCTAGAGTGTGGTGTCTGTTTTCTAGGTGGTGCGTGAGCCGGGAGTGATTCTTCAGTACTCGGGCTGCATGCGCCTTAGGGTTCCCTTCCCTAGGTGCCCTGTAAGTACTGCCCTTGGGGCTTGGGGCCACCTTCCACAAGTTCCTTGGGTCCTGCCCCTGCTTGGCCGTTTACTGCTTGGTTTCCGGCCGCTCTTTGTGTGCTCGGGTGTTCTGTCTCCCTTGTTCACCTTAGAGTAAGGGGCAGTTTTTGCACTGGTGGGGCGCAGGGTACTGTGAGTGTACACATCCCGGGGGTTCAGCTCTTAGAAAGTTGTTTGGTAGCTTTGGGCGCTGGTTAGCAGTACCCTGCCTGGGATTACCTGAGCACGTGTCCTCTTATAGTAAACGCACGGGACCCTGGGAAACCCCTGGGGGCGCGCGGGTCCGGATGTGACCCCAGAGTCCCCCCCCTCGCTTCCAGCGAGTTTGAGGGTTGCTCTCACCCTTTGTCTCTGGGTGACTCTCTGTTTTGCCTCCGTCTGCTGCCTGTGGGGTCGGTGACACCTTCGACCCGGAGTCCTGCGAGTTTGGTTGCTCGTTGTGGCTCGGTTACCCAGTTGTGCTGACAAAGCGGGTGCGGGCAGCAGGGGCGTTGTACTTGAGCCTTGGTGGTGGCAACGTTCTCGTGGTTTCCTCCCCGGGAGCCCCGGGGCTGCCCCGTTGTAGTTCGTTTTGGGACTTGGGGGTGTTGGTTGCTTCGGTTCCATCCACGCCCCCTTGTCTTTCCCCTGGATCACCCTTCCTGCCTGCATCCGGTTCCTTACCGTCTGTAGGTTCGGGGCGGGGTTTTTGATGGTGTTGAGACTCGGGCAGTCTCGGGGAATTCCCCTTCCGGGGTAGTGATGGGGGCATTTGAGCCTGTTCCTCCAGCCGTGTTGTATGAGTCTGCCAGTGGGCTCCCTTCCTTAGTGTTTTCACGGCTGCCCCGGTTTTCTGGTATGGCCGGGGCTTTGGGGGAATGGCTCGACCCCGGGGCCTGTCGTGTAGGTTCCTGGGGCTGGAGAGGGGCTGACTTGGGGGGCCTTGGCCCCGTTGGACCCCGT